AGACAGACAGGCAGACAAACAGACAGAGACAGACAGACAGGCAGACATGTGAGTGGGGAGCTTTTCTCCTGTGGACAGACCTTCAGACAGAACCTTACCGTCCAGAGCAGCCAGGCCTCCAGGGATCACCCTCTTGATGAAGATCCCAAAGTCTTCCCCGGTCGGCTCTCTGTAACCTCCGATCACTTTGACTCCTGAGAGAAAGGTTCTGATTGTTCAGAACTCTTTAACCTCTGAGAGGAGAGTTCTGATTGGTCAGAAACCTTCTGATTGACAGCAGGGTCAGGGGTCAGGTACTCACCCAGTCCCTTCCTACAGTCGGAGAACTCCAGCCTGTGGACAGCTCTGCTGATGCCGTGGGGGCCCATGATGGTCCTGGAGACGAACAGAAGCACGACAGGATCAGAACCATGTCAGCATCCCGACCCGGCACAAAGCCTCTAGTCCTCAGAGCCGCAGCAAATAATCAAATCATCACAGGATTTTGTTTTGGTCCCCCTCCCCCCTGCAGCCACATGCAACCAATAATATCTGTGGCTGACCCGGTACTGACCCGGTACTGACCCGGATGTTAGGAGGCTCAGGATAATCAAAGGAACAAACGGTGCTTTCTGCAGAGGGAGGGGCGCTTTGACGAAAGCTCCTCAGATGCGTTTAACGTGATGTTCTGATCCGAGGCTCGGTTTAATATCGCAGCAGAACCAGCAGCGTGTCACTCTGACCTCTGAGTGTGATGACTGACCGGACCGAACCACCCTGATCCAGACCTGCAGGGCTTAAGCTCTGTGACAGTCCAGAACTGGTCTGACAGAACAGGTGCATCCAGAACTGGGCCACAGACTCAAACAGAAAGGTTCTTCATGTTCTGACTGCAGGAGGAGCAGAACCAGCACCGTTTGATTTGACTCACACGGAAACACACACAGAACCTCTTCCAGAACCCAAATTAAGAACTGGTCCAGGCCTCTTCATATGTGACATGAACTTGTTGGACCTGTCTGACCCCCTGAACAGATCCTGGACCTGAAGGCAGCCTAACTGTGTGTGTGTGTGTGGCTTAGCGGGGGGGGGGGGGAGACAAAATAATGTGCACGGCCAAGAACACAGTTTTACTGTGGTTTTCAAAAACTGGTCCTAAGTTCTGGTCCAGAGTTCACAACTGTTCAGCTCGTCTCCACCCGTCAGGAGGACGTTAACAAACCAAACGTTCTCCAGGGTGAACATCAGCAGCTCAACAAACTCTGATGAAACATCAAACAGCTCAGGAGGGGCCACGACAACAAATCATGATGAACCCTCTAGCACAGACCCGGGTTCTGGGTCCAGGTCGGTCTCAGTTTGGACCCAGATGTTTGGTTTTTGTGCTTCAACAGATCACCGACAGAAACTCAGACTTCTTCTGGGTTTCCCTGAAAGGTTCAGGACCGAGGATCTGCTCTGCTGTCAGAACCGGTCTGCGTGTGGTGAAAAGGATTATGGGAAGTGAAGGGGAGGTCACTTTGATCTCACTGAAGAGGCTTAATTAGAAATAATAACATAATCCATCTTAAGGAGCAGCCGACACTCCGACACTGATCAAATTCACTTCCTGTCAGACAAGACTCACAAAAACCAGCAAGAAAAACTAAAACACGAGACGTTTGTTCAAGTTCTCTGAGGAGGCAGCAGATGTTTGTGAAGCAGTGGTTATTATCTGAAGGGGACAGATGTTTGTGAAGCAGTGGTTATTATCTGAAGGGGACAGATGTTTGTGAAGCGCTGGTCTGGTTCCAGTTTGACGGAGCGGTCCAGTACAATTCAGGGAACAGGACTGGTCTGAAGGACGATGTTAAAACTGACACATCTATGTACATATTTTTTTTATTTTTTTTTTATTGATTTTTTATCTTATAAAACAAGCAAATGATAATAGTACAATTAACATTATTTTCCAATAAACAACATAATCCCCAAAGTAAACAAATATAACAAAAAATAAATAAATAAAAAAAAATATTTAAAAAAAATAAATGAATGTATGTGACTAAATTAAAATAAAAATAAAATAAAATAACAGCATATATCTATATAATAAAATAAGATAAGATAAAGCTCAGCTCCAAGCATCCTTTTCTGAATTATTGTCCCTTGTAATGTCTCAGAAATTCAGTTAACGGTGACCATATTTCTTCAAAGTCTAATCCTTTACCTCTGACGATATAAGTAAGTCGTTCCAGTACAATACAAGATGCCATCTCCTTCACCCACACATGATTTGAGGGTACATCCATTTTCTTCCAGTACAAAGATATTAACCTCCTGGCCTGCAGGAGTCCAAAGTCAATCAATTTTAACTGTCTGGAAGTAAAAACACAATCCTCTGGGTATATACTAACACACACATTTTTACATCAACAGCTATATTTACTCTAACAATCTTAGACAAAGTTTGTATAACTGATTCCCAGTAGTGCTGTATCTTTGGACAGCTCCATACACAATGCAGCAGAGTACCCTTTTCATCTAAACATTTAGTACAGCTGTCTGGAATGTCAGGGGACCAGCGATTCAGCCTGACTGGGGTTATGTAGGTTCTCATCAACCATTTGTATTGAAGGAGTTTCATCCTTGTGTTAATTGATTGTTTTTGAGCTTTTAAACATGCAGCTTCCCAGTCTGCCTCCTCTATCTCATCTTGGATGTCCGATTTCCATGCATCCAATTTATCGGTGGTAGACTCCTTATCATGTGTTAGTAGAGCTGTATAATCTATGTACATATTTAATAAAATGTTCAAAGTTAGTTTTCTGAAGGAATATGGAAAAGTATAATGTGTATCTTTACAAACTGTTGTTTGAGTTGATGTTTTTATTTAACTTTGTTTTTTTGTAAATTACTTTTGTTTGAACATATTCTGAGTAGAAAAGGACAGAAATAAGATTTATTCTTCTGCTGCCTTTCATTTTGTTTTTGATTGTATACATATTTTTTGTTTCTGTTGTATATAGTTATTTTGTTTTTAATGAAATGAATAAATTTCTAAATAAAAAACAAACAACAACAACAATAACAAAACAATGACAGTTTCCAGCTGAAGCGGCCTGCTGGAACACAGAGCAGCAATTAAACTGAGCACTTAATACCTGATAATCTGCTCTACCTGACACAAGTCATTACTGTCTCACACACACACACACACACACAGACACAGACAGGGACACACACACAGGGACACACACACACACACACAGGGACACACACACAGGGACACACACACAGGGACACACACACAGGGACACACACACACACACACACACACACAGGGACACACACACACACACAACTCAGACACGTACCAGGACGGGTTCCAAACATCTACAATGAAACACCTACAAACATAAAACCAGACCCAGGTCATCAGACCTGAGGCCTGGTCTTCAGTCAGAGGGTGGACTGTCCTCTCAGGGATTCGTTCACGGTGAGGGAACAATGGAGAGAGAGATGGACAGATGGACCACAGTATTGTGGACTCTGTGTCGGTCCGTTGAGGTGAAGCGTGCTCTGACGTCCTCTGGATGCTTCCATAGGGAGGTGTTCTGGACATGTCCAACTGGGAGGAGACCCCAGGAAAGACCCAGGACACACTGGAGAGACACTGTCTCTCATTTGGTCTGTGGACACCTCCTCCCAAAAGAGCTGGAAGAGGTTTCTGGACCTCCCAGGTTAAGCTGCTGCCACAAGACCTAAGTCCAGAACCAGATGAATGACAGATGGGAGGGGAGAAAACTAAATCCATCCATCCATCCATCCATCCATCCATCTTTTACCCGCCTTTTTTTGGTCACTGGTGCCCGTGTCCAGCAGTCACTGTGCAAGAGGAGGGGGACACCTGGGCAGGTCTCAGTCCATCAGAGGGACACCTAGGGACAATTTAGAGTCACCAATCAGTCCATCCATCCATCCATTATCTTTACCCGTTTATTCCATTTTGGGTCACGGGGGTCGCTGGTGCCCATGTCCAGCAATCACTGTGCGAGGGGCGGGGGACACCCTGGACGGGTCGCAAGTCCATCACAGGGACACATAGAGACAAACGAGACAAACAACCATTCACTCTCTCTCTCACCTAGAGACAATTTAGAGTTACCAATCAGTCTAACATGCATGTTTTTGGTTTGTGGGAGGAAACTGGAGCACCCGGAGAAAACCCACGCAGCAGCTCTGCCCACTGCTCCACCGTGCCTGACACTCTATTGAAACACAAAGACGTTCAAACACCTGATGTCTGTTTTCAGCAGGACGTTTTCCAGATCCAGGAAATGAGCAGGTGTCAAGGTCTGGGTTTCCATGCAGGAGTTCTTGTGGTCTGTGGTGTCAAAGGCAGCGCTGAGATCCAACAGAACCAGCACCGGTACCAGAAGTGGTATACAGATGGTTCCTTCCAGTTTCAACGTTCTCTATAATCACAAGAACCGTTTCTTGAGACGGGTCTGAAGCTGTCTCACTTGTTTCACACAAGAAGAGCACGTTGTGTGAAAACGGCGTGTCTTTGGAGGAAGAGAGCTGCAGCTCCTGAGGATTACTGTTCGCATGTTTAATCTCCTCCTGTCTGCTGAAGTGTGGAATGAAAAGCAGCAGTTTCCGTGCACATTGATCCGCGCGCTGACAGTTCATCTGAGGTCGCAGCCCTCGGCTTTTCATTCTTACAGGAAGCTGGTGAACTAAAGGAAACGGAGTGTTTCTTGGTGGCGTTTTGGTTCTGATGACACAGATGTTGCTCCGTGGGTTAGTACACGACCTGTCTAAGTCCAGTCCTGGTCCTTGAGGGCCACTATCTGCACACTTTAGATGCATCTCTGCTTCCACACAGGTTAACGTGACTGATTACCAGGCTTCTGCAGAGCATGAAGACGTTCTGAAGAGCAGGAGAACATCTAAACAGTGGCCCTTGAGGACCAGGATTGGACACAGGAACTAATGTGGTGCCAGAATTCTGTTTCTGGAGATCTGAACGGCTCAGACTGGGTTTATCATTTTGTCTTGTTGTTTTGGTCACATTTATTCTTGTTTGGTTCCTAGAGTCCCCAACTCTTTGTTTTTATGTCTTCAGCTTTTTGCACACCTGCCTCCCATCTTCCAATCATCTCAGCTGCTGTCACTCAGCAATCACCAGCAGATACTGAATGGTACCACCTCAGCTAGTTCCATGTTCCACTAGAACCAATAAAAACTTCTTTACAGCCAGTCCATTGGCTCTAAAGTCCTATCATGGTCCTGTTGAGCTCCCTGAATTGTCAAAAATAATATCTTCATCCAAACCATCCACATGTCTGCTAGATCCCAACCAGACTGTTTAAAGAGGTATTTCCACTAATTAATGTCCACATTTTGGACCTACTTAATTTGTCTTTAATGGATGGTTATGTACCACAGCGCTTTAAGGTTGCTGTAATTAAACCTTTACTTAAGAAGTCTGACCTTGATTCAGAAATTCTGGCCAACTATAGATCTATATCTAATCTAACTTTCATCAACTATAGATCTATATCTAATCTAACTTTCATCTCAAAAATTCTAGAGAAAATAGTTGCAGGTCAGTTGTGTGAACATCTACAAAGAAATAATCTGAAGAGTTTCAGTCAGGGTTTAGAGCTCATCATAGCACAGAAACAGCACTAGTAAAAGTCACTAATGATATTCTCATGGCCTCAGACAATGGACTGGTGTCTCTACTGGTCCTGTTAGACCTCAGTGCTGCATTTGATACAGTTGATCACAATATTTTACTACAGAGACTTGAAAATGATGTTGGGATTACAGGAACAGCTCTAAAATGGGTTAAATCATATCTATCTGATAGATTCCAGTTTGTAAATAATAAATCTTCTTCAAACACCAAAGTTAGTCATGGAGTTCCTCAGGGCTCAGTGCTTGGGCCAATACTCTTTACTTTATATATGCTTCCATTAGGTAAAGTTATTAAACATCATGGGATAAATGTTCATCGTTATGTTGATGATACACAATTATATTTGTCCATGAAACCCAATGAATCCAATCAGCTACTTAGACTACAAGCATGTCTTAAAGACATAAAAACCTGGATGATCCTTAATTTTCTCCTGTTGAACAGACAAGACTGAGGTTTTGGTTTTTGGACCTGAGCACCTTAGGAATGAATGTTTCAGTCTTTCTCCCTCCTTAGATGCATTAATCTGTCCTCCAGCTCTAATGTTAAAAATCTTGGTGTTATTTTTGATCAGGACATGTCTTTTATCCCCCACATTAAAAACGTTACTAGAACCTCCTTCTTCCACCTGCGTAATATCACTAACATTAGAAACATCTGATCTAAAGATGATGCAGAAAAACTGGTCCATGCATTTGTCACGTCTAGACTGGACTATTGCAATGGTTTATTATCTGGGTGTCCAAATACTTCTTTAAAACGTCTTCAGTTGATCCAACATGCTGCTGCCAGAGTCTTAACTGGAGTTACTGGGAGAGATCATATCTCTCCAGTTTTAGCTTCTCTCCATTGGCTCCCTGTCAAATCCAGAATAGAATTCAAAATCTTACTTCTAACCTACAAAGCCCTCAACAACCTAGCTCCATCTTTTATTACAGATCTTATTGTTCCATATTTTCCTAACAGAGCACTTTGCTCTCAAACTGCAGGTTTACTTGTGGTTCCTAGAGTTTCCAGCAGCAGAATGGGAGGAAGATCTTCCAGTTCTCAGGCTCCTCTCTTGTGGAACCAACTTCCAGTTTCTGTCCATGAGGCTGACACATGGTCCAGTTTTAAGACTTTCCTTTTTGATAAATCCTATAGTTAGGGTCGGATTGTTCTGCTGCTATAGGCTTAGACTACTGGAGGACAAAGTGACCTCATGTCCTCTCTCTGCTGCCTTTACTTACTCCACTCTACCTGTTTGTAATTATTTCTAGCTTAACATGGTTTTGTCTTTCCTCGTATAGAAACCACACCTGGACCTTTCATTCTGTGTCTGTTTCTACTTCCTGTCCTCTCAAACCAGCCAGTCGAGGTAGATGTTCGCTCGTCCTGATCCTGGTTCTGCTGGAGGTTTCTTCCTGTTAAAGGGAGTTTTCCTTTCCACTGTCTCCTTTGTTCTTGCTCAGGATGGAAGATTGTGATGAAGTGAAGATTCAACACGACCTGCTGCTTCCTCAGAGAGAGAACTTTACTAAATGTGTTTTATAATTTTGTGAAAGTTTCTGTTCATCGCCCTGAGATGACTTCTGTTGGAAGTTGGAGCTGCAGAAATAAACTGAATTGAAATGAATTGTTGTCTCATTCTTTCCTCATGTTTTTGTTCTCGTGTTCTTCAGACCCTTTTGTTCACTGTCTTTTAGTTTATTTCAAGATGGACGCCAGAGCTAATTGACCTTACCGAACACAAAACTAGTTCTAATTGAGTTAGTTTTAGAGAAATGTAGCCATAATTTAGTGTGTGTCTCTGAGATCACTGGATGGTGTTTGATCCAAACAGCTCCAACTGCATCAGTTATCAAAGATCTTAGTCCCAATGTTGTGTCCTCTTCTTCTCCTGGTTCTGGTGTCCTGAAGGTTGTGTCTTCATCTTCACTGGGGCCCACAGGATCTTCAGACTCTCCTACAGACTATCCTGCTGTTTTTGTAACCAGACAAAAGCAAGCTTAGTATTTTGTGCTGTCCCTGGTTTTCTGAGGTTTCTCAGAGGATTCTGGCTGGACTGAAGATCCAGGGAACAAACCTGAGCAGCAGCACAGTTTGATGAAACACACCTCACTGGCTGCCGGTTCTGATTAAGGATTTCTTGCCTGAAATTTAGAACCTGAGCAGAGATGAGTCCATTTGACAGCAGCAGCTTCTAGCTCGGCAAATCATTAGAGACTAGATCTGGTCTAGAGTAGACCTGGTCTAAAGGAGACCTGATCCTGTAAAAACTGGCTAAAGGAAGAGGGGGCACGACAGGAGCTCACATTAAACGCATGACCCAGAACCGCGCACATGCATCATGTGGACTTAAAGTCTGAAGCATCTGTCACTGAACAGGCGGGTAATCTGATCCACCTCTGAATCCTGACCCACATGGAGGACCAAAACAAGGACCGGAAGGGTCCAGGGAGTCCCCTTCTGATGGTCATGAACATACAGGAAAGAAGGACGAGACTCACCAGTACAGCAGAGACAACCCATTGAACCGCTCCGCGTCCTGAGGGAGGAATGGCATCGCACCCCGGTGTGGGTGAGAGACGACAAACTGTCCGCACACACACACTCACGTGCACGTGTGGCTGCAGAGACGGATGAGAGGAGACAGCAGCTGCGGTTCAAACCGGGTCGGTGCACAGAGTGGACCTCAGAGGGATGGATGGGAATCCGGTCCGACAGGGAGACATGCGCTTACCTTTAATCCGTCCTGATACCCGTCAGTTGCACGCACGCACGCACGCACGCACGCACACACACACACACACACACACACACACACACAAGCTGGAGGATTCTCCAGAAGTCTGAATTTATTTTTACTTTAATAAATCTCAAAAAGCTAAAGAGGATGAACATTTAGTACTTGTTAACTTTGAGAGTCAACCTGATTCAAGATGGCTGCCACAGCTAATCAGCTTTAACAAACATAAATGGATCCAAGTCGGTCATTACTACAGACAGGATGAGCGTGTGCACCTGAATTCTGCTGCTGGGGCAGCTGTAACAGCCACTGGCAGGGCCTCCCAAGGCAGAATGATTGAGGTCAGACAAAGAGCAGTCCAGACAGTTGTATGGACGAAGGAAAACAAGGAGCTCACCGTCCCTTGGCCGGACGTAGGTTACCGGGGGCCACCCTGGAGCCAGGCCTGGTGGAGATGCTCGTCGACAAGTGCCTGGTGATCGGTTCCTATCTATGGGGCCCGGTTGGGCATAGCCTGAATGAGTAACATGGGTTTGCTTTCCTGTGGGCCCACCACCTGCAGGTGGGGTCATACAAGTCGGGTGTATGATGCCATGGGCAGTGGCTGAAGGCGCTCTGACCCTGGCTTACCAAAGCTGCTCTTGGGACATGGACTGTGACCTCTCTGGTGGGGAAGGAGCCTGAGCTTGTGTGTGAGATTGAGAGGTACCAACTAGATGTAGTTGGGCTCACCTCAACACACAGCATGGGCTCTGGAACCGATCTCCTTGAGAGGGGCTAGACCTTATTCCACTCTGGAGTTGCCCAGAGGTGCCGAGTTGGTGCAAGCCTACTCAGCCCCCTGCCTGTGTGATGGTGTTTTCCCCAGTAGATAAGAGGGTAGCTTTCCTGGGCCTTGGGTGGGGGGGGGGGACGGGCTCTGATGGTTTGTTTCTACGCAGCAAACGACAGTTCAGAGGATCCGGCCTTCTTGAAGGTCTTAGCTGGGATGTTGCAAAGTGCTCCAGCTGGGGACTCCTTTATTCTGCTGGGGGTGTGGGATTCCAGTGTTTTCTCTTCTACAGTTCTTCTTGTGACAGGCAGGTGCCAACAGCTGGGCAACAGCTGGGACCAATCTAACTGACAAGCTCCAGAGGTGTTTCAGCCTGCTGAAGTGCTCCTTCTGACGCCTGAACGTTACATTCTGACCGGTATGGTAACAGACCACCTGTGTCTCTAAGGCTTGCATCTGACCTACCAGATGTTCCTTGTATCCTAGTAGTTCCTCTTTCCTGAGAACAAACCCTGGATAGACCTGAGTATCTTCTGAGTTTCCAAACTGTATTGTACCCAAGGACCCTGCTGCCAAATGTCTGCCTTCAACTCACCAGCCAATCCACTAGTATCCTCTATCTACATGGAATCCTGCACTCTCTTCTTTACTTGGACAAGCCTGAAGAAAACTGTTAGAAATATCCCTGAGTTATCTAGATCCACATTACCCAGAACATCCAGAGTCTGTAGTGTACAACTAATATTGTATCCTACAAAACATAAGGTTTACAAATGCTCATTGTGTTTACAAGGTCTGAAATGTTTAATATGACAACCCTAGAAGAAATTCAATAGACAAAAAAAGAGGAGTCTATAGCAAGGAGAAAATAATCAATCAATCAACCTTTATTTATAATAAATGATCCATTTATTACAAATACACATTGAACTTACCACCAGCTGACCCAGAACTTCCAGTAGGCTGCACAGCAGAAATGCAGTGTAACTGGTGGACGCGTTCCTGAAGCTAAAAGAGAAAACATTATTTAACACTGAGTATTCTTATTTTTACTGAAAACTATGCAGTGTAAACGACAACAGAACGTTATTTTGCATTACATTCTTCTAAAATCAGAGTTACTGTACCCATGACATGAAATACTGGATTAATCATCACACACACATTACACGAGTGTGTTGGTGGCTGAAAAACAAAAACAGCACAGAGCTGTGCTCCATTACACATAATAACAATAATAACAACAACAATAATAATAATAATAATAATAATAATAATAATAATAATAATAACAATAATAATAATGATAACAATAATAACAACAATAATAACAATAATAATAATAATAATAATAATAATAATAACAATAATAACAATAATAATAACAACAACAATAATAATAATAATAATAATAATAACAATAATAATAATAATAATAATAACAATAATAATAA